TGACAAGCCCAAGGTTGACAAGTAATAGGGCACAGTCCCAATGTTACCAAACTACATGGCAGGCCATTAATTCAAGTCCATTAAAAGTTCCAAGATCAGCAGAGCACAGCAGGCTGCTGAACAACGACTCAGCTATATGGAGGGTTCAAACGTGCCATAAGCTAGAGACCATTTCCAAAGCTGCTTCTTATATACGGGAAGCAGACCACATCCCTAAAGCAGCTACTTGGCTGCTCCAATACATTCTACCATGGAGTTAATTACCAATCTTACAATGGGGAATAACTACATCCAGCTGCCCAGGCCCTTAACCAAGTTTACACACAAACTTAACTACCACAATATAGTAAACTTTTTTCAAAAATTGTCAAGTCCAGTCTCATACTGCAAGCAGGCTAATAATACATGAGGAACCAGGCATTTGTCCAGAAAAAATTACTTAGTATATTATCTTAGGCATATTTACTGTAGAATACCATTTACTGTAATGCTTTGCTACTCGTGGGAATTTCTATTGCCACACTAGCATCAAACTCAAGGGATAGAGAAAACAATGCTGCTGCAGCGGCTGCAACTGCCCTAAGCCCTCTCTCCACCCAGAGGAATGGGCTGGTACCAGGAAGCATGGCTGTTCCAAGAGAACTAACCTCAGTAGCCTTAGGGTAATGAGACTTTCTCCAGTGTACACTGAAATAATAACAGAAGTGCTAATGCCCTTATTTGGGAGCTCTGGTAGCACAGTGCCTAAGGCACCTGACTGCTAACCAGAAGGCTGGCAGTTCAAACCCACCAGCCACTCCTCGGAAGGAAGATGGGGCAATCTATTTCCATAGTGATACTGCCTTGGAAACCCAAGGAGGGGTCGCTATGAGTCGGTTCCGACTCAACAGCACATAACAACAACAACAAATGCTTTCATTTGGAATAAATATATAATAAACTTGGAAGTAGAATATATGTTTTTGGGAAAAGATTTTAAAAATTAACACTGAAAATATAGTACAAAGGGTCTTTTTTACCTTTAAATATTTCACCAGCTTCTGAATTTGCCAGTATTCTGATGGCAAATCAGCATTTGCTTCCTGACGATGATCAGGTGGTTCTTCATCTTCCTCACTCTCTGAGGAGCTCTCACTAATAATCTCCTCAGGCTTATCAGTAGGCTTACTAAGAAAAGAATAATAAATATGTATATAAACTATAGCATAGATAAATGTCGTAATGATAGTATTTCAGCAATATGTCCATAAGCTACAGATAAGATACCAACACTTCCTGAGTTCTAGATCTTTGTGAGGATCTACATGAGGAGATAAGTAAGTCCATGTCTCCTCAATAGGTGTGGTTCAGTATTATTACCCATGGTTCAATATTAATAAAGAAAATAATGAAATATGAACAAGGGAATTACCATATTTTCACATATAATGCACCCACATAAATAACATGCACCATGCGTATAGTGCAGAGCACACATAGGAAACTAATGTGTGAAGTGTTCGCACAGTTTGAAAAAAAGCATATAATGTGCATATTATTTGTGTAAACCTACGGTAAGTAATTAGTCTAAACCTGTGCTATACAATAAGGTAGTCACTAGTCACATAGAGCTATTTATATTTACAGTTATTTATTTACTTAAGTAGAATGAAAAATTCTCTAGGCATACCAGCCACATTTCAATAGTCAATAGTCACACGTGGCTAGTGGCTACTGTACTGGACAGTGTAGAAAAGGACCATTCTTATTACTGCAGAAAGTTCTATTGCCCAGTGCTGCAAATGCCTTAAAATGAAAGAGTCTCCTTTACCAAAAAGAGGCAGCACCTCCTTCTTCATGATGCCTAAACTGAAGAACTAGGAAGGGCACTAGACACCAAAGAGCACCAATTACCTAAACCAGGTTTAGGAACAAGGAGTTAACTACCAACTCCTAAACACATTAGCATGCTAAATGGTAATTATCATAGATGTATACCACATTCAATAGTATGAGGCATAGACAACACTATCACAAGAATCTTGGGCAGATCACTAGGAATGGTCATAGTCACGGTCCAGTATAGCACCTATATTGGCCTAATACCCCTTCAGAGTTCCCTCCTGCACACTCCTTACACCAGCTGGTCCCTACTCCCCACCCGTGGATGCATGTCTTTCAGCTAATAGGTCATCAAATTCACAATGATGTCTTAAGGAGTGCTCATCCATCACTCACATGTGAGGAGGCAGTTAGCCCAAGATATTTATCTTGGTACTGTTTCCCACATCTTGAATTTACATGACAAAAGTAAGCTTTCAGTGGCCCTATAGTGAAGTTAGGAGCCCTGGTAGTACAATGGTTAAAGCACTTGGATGCTAACCAAAATGTTGGCAGTTCAAACCCACCAACTGCTCCACAGAAGAAAGATGGGGCAGTCTACTTCTGCAGAGATTTACAGCCTTGGAAACCTTAAGGGTCAGCTCTACTCTGTCCTATAGGGTCACTATGAGTCAGAACCAACTTGATGGCAGTGGATTTGGCTTTTTGTTTTGGTAGTAATGTAAGGCTTGAGAGAAAGAAGGTCTATAAGAGAAGAAGTTCAGCAAATGCAAAGAATAGGAGAGAGGAACTTTTGGTATACAGGATGAGAATGTAAGGAAATTCATTTCCTTATGAGAGTGTCAGCAGAAAAGGCTTCTATTAGGAGGAGGAAAAAAAAAAAAGCTCATTCAGATAGAGGTAGTGCAGAGGATTATGGGAATTAGAGCAATGGAAGAGACAGTCTCAGATGAATATGCATTTAATGTTACATCCAGGGATAAGAGGCACCTGTGGACCCTGCCAGACACCCCCTGGAGCAGTGTTTCCATTCCAGGTCCACATATTTATAAACCAAACAACACACTTTTAAAAAAATCCATGGATCAAACAAGAAGTCTTAAGGGAAATTTTAAAAAGTACACTGAACTGAATGAAAATAACTATATATAAAAATTTGTTATATGCAGCTAAAGCAGTATAGAGAGGGAAACATATAGCAATAAGAACTTACATTAAGGAGTTCTACTTACATAGAAAAGAGGTAAAGTCTCAAATCAATAATCTAAACTCACACCTAAATAAACTAGAAAAGAAAGAGCAAAATAAACCCTATGCAAACAGAAGAAAAGAAATAATAAAGAGAGAGATCAAAGAAGAGTGGATGCTTTTGAGTTGTGGTGCTGCCAAAGAATGCTGACAGTAACATGGACTGCTAAAAGTACTAACAAGTCTGTCCTGGAAGAAGTGCAGCCAGAACGTTTCTTGAAAGCAAGAATGGCCAGAATTCATCTCACCTATTTTGCTCATGTTGTCAGAAGGGACCATTCTCTGGAGAAGGATGTTAATAAAGTAGAGGGTCGACAAAGGAGGGGAAGGCCCTCAACAAAATGGATTGACACAGTGGCTGCAGTGATGCGCTCTGGTATAGTAGGGATCATGAAGCTGCCACAGGACCAGGCAATGTTTCGTTCTGTTGTACATGGGTTTGCTATGAGTCGGAGACACCTCAACGGCACATAACAACAGTAACCAAGACTTTGGGGGTATCAGTGGAGAGCTAGACACAACAATTCATGCAACAGAATAGAGATCCAGGTAGCTCCACACAAGTACAACCAACTGATATTTTACAAAGGTACAAAAGCCATTCAACAAATGATGCTGGAGTAATTAGATATCCATAGGCAAAAAAAAAAAAAAAAAGAACCTTGAGTTGTCTCAAACTTTATTTTAAAAATAGCTCAAAATGCATCACAATCTTAAATGTAAAACTATAAAAACTTTTTGAAAAAAGAAAAAAGATAATCTATGGGACCCATGGTTTGGTAGAGAGTTCTTAGATATGACACCAAAAACACAAGCCATAAAAGAAAAAAAAAAAAAAAGAATTAGACTTCATCAAAACAATAGCTTTCGTTTTGTGAAATACCCTGTTAAAAGAATGAAAAAGTAACTTACAGAATTGGAAAAATTATTTGTAAACTACATTTCAGACAAAGCTTCAATATCCAGAATATATAAAGAGCTCTCAAAAGTCAACATTAGAAAATAATCTAATTAGAAAATGGGGAAAACACATAAAGAGACATTTTACCAAAAATAATATACAAATGGAAATAAGCATATGAAAAGATGATGAACATCACTAGCCATTAGAGAAATGCTATGACCATGAAGAGATATGACTACACAACATTTAGTACCTCTGAAATTACAAGTAATGACAATAATAAATGCTGTCAAAAATGGAAATCAGAATCTCCTGCACATCACTAGTAGAAATATAAAATGATACAGCCACTTTGGAAAACAAGCTGGTAGTTTGTTAGAAACTAAACATACATTTACTGTATGTGTCAGCAATGGGGCATTTACCCAAGAGAAATGCAAACTTACATACACACAAAAACCTGTAGATTTATATGTTGTTGTTGTTTGCATCGAGTCGGACCCAACTCATAGCGACTCCTCCTTGGGTTTCCGAGGGAGTATCACTACGGAAGTAGATTGCCCCATCTTCCTTCCGAGGGGTGGCTGGTGGGTTTGAACCTCCAGCCTTCTGGTTAGCAGTCAAGTGCCTTAGGCTCTATGCTACCAGAACTCTTGTATATATATATAGATAGATAGATAGATAGATAGATAGATAGATAGATAGATAGATAGATAGAGCTTTATTTCTAATAACCCCAAGCCAGAAACACCTAAAATTTTCCTCAACAGGTGATTGGCTAAATAAACTGTGATACATCCATACCACAGAATACTACTTAGCAATAAATAGGAACAAAGTCAACAATTTGGCTAAGATTTCAAGGTAATTATGCTGAGTGAAACAAAGAAAATCCCAAAAGGACATATACTGTATGATCTGTTTAAAAAACATTCTAAAAATGACAAAACTATAGAAATGGAAAAAAGATTAGTTGTTGTCAGAGGTTAGGATAGTAGAGGGGAGGGAGATGGATGTGATTATAATAGAGTAACATGAGGAAGATCTTTGCGGTGAAGAAGCTGTTATGTATCTTGATTACATGGTGGTTATGCATATTTACACATATGGTAGTGACATAGAACTATACACACACATTGGGCCAATGTCAGTATCTTGATTTTGATATGGTACTATAGTTACATAAGACGTAATCATTGGTGGAAGCTGGGTGAAGAGTACATGGAACTTCTTTGTACTATCCTTGCAACTTTCTGTGAATCTATAGCTATTTCAAAATAAAAAGGTTAAAAAAAGTAATGGTCAAACAAATTTAATACTATATTATATAAATTTAGCATACACTTAATAGCACATATTAAAATTTGCCTTTTCTCCAAATGTTGCTGTTAGATGCCATCAAATGTGCCCTCAACTCATGGCAACTTCATACACAATAGAATAAGACACTATGTCTAATTCACTGCCATCGAGTTGGATCTGACTCATAGCAACCCTCCCTTGGGTTTCCAAGGAGGTATCACTACAGAAGGAGATTGCCCAACTTTTCTTCCGAGGAGTGGCTGGTGGGTTTGAACCACCAGCCTTCTGGTTAGCAGTCAAATGCCTTAGGCACTATGCCCCTGCACCGTACCTATGTTTGATTATGTTATCAAACCACTGTGGTCCAGAGGGTTTTCAGTGGCTGGTTTTTTCAAAGTAGATTGTTCTTCCTAAACTGTCTAAGGCTGGAAGCTCTGCTGAAATCTGTGCATCATAGCAGCACACAAGCCTCCAATAATGGACATGGTGGTTGTGCTTGAGGTACATGACCAGAAATTGAACCCAAGGCTCCCCAGGGGAAAACAACAATTCTACCCAATGAACCACCACCAAACCTTTATAATGCAAAACTCCATATTTTTTCATATAATGCACCCACATAAATAACATGCACCATGCATATAGCACAGAACACACATAGGAAACTACCCCTACCCCTCTGAAACTCTCAAATAAAAGTAGCTGACTTTTTTCCCCAAAATATGTTGCTTTTGTTGCTACACTGAAAATTAGGTCAGCTGGCCTCATATTAATAGCTCATAGTTTCAATTAGAAATCAAGCACTGACAGCTATAGAACTGGCATAGCCATCAGTGATCAAGAGTCAGAATCTCACAGATGACACAGCTCTGCTGTGACATGATTGTTCAGAGGTAAAAGATCACCTAAGAGCCCAGTTTTCCTAATGCTTAGTTCACTGCTCTTTACATTAAATACATTCCTTTTCATAGTTAAACTACTCTACTCATTTCCATCGAGTCCATGAAAGTCATAGTGACCCCACAGGGCAGCATAGAACGTCCCCCCCCTAAGGTTTCTAAGTCTGTGATCTTTACAAAAGCAGACTGCCACATCTTTCTCCCATGGAGGAACAGTGGGTTGGAAACCTTGACCTTTCAGCTAAAAGCTAAGCACTTAACCACTGTGCCACCAGGTTCCTCATAGTTGACTAATATCAGTAAATTTCTGTACTTCAAAAAACTCTGAATTAGGATACTGGTAAACATATTTCATGAAATCTAGTATATTATTCTTTTTACTAAATTTCCTAATTGTCAATAGAAGGATTTTAGTACCCTAATGTCAGAAGGAAGATGGGGCAATCTACTTCCGTAGTGATACTGCCTTGGAAACCCAAGGAGGGGTCACTATGAGTCGGGTCTGACTCAACGGCACATAACAACAACAGCAGAAGCAGCACCCTAATGTAATACTTAAGAACATATTTAATTAGTGGGAAAACCAGTCCACTGTATAAGGGGTAGCTTTAAAGAACTAGTTACGTTAATAGAAACATACCGAAGTAATTGTGCTCTTCCAAGTGCAACAGATGGTCTTGCCTTTTCCAGTCTTGAAGAGAGTTTTTCCTCTTGGGTGTCTCTTGCTGAACTTTTGTGACTAAAGAATATTAATTTGAGTCATTACTTTAATGGATTATTGAGTTTTGTCCCAAAAAAAGAAACCTTTGAACTGAAAGATACTTCTCCACCTCTGAACTTGTTTGTAAATAAGATTTTGTTCTTGTTCTTGTTATCAGTTAAATTAAATGATAGAGTAGGGTGGGTCCTAATCCTAATCCCTTCTAAGTAAACTTTTATGAAAGGGGAGAACAGACATGGAACGAGAGTCACAGGGGGAAGAGAACATGTGAGTTTGCATCTCCACTCAGAAGCTGAAAAAGGCAAGGAAGGATTTTCCTTTAGAGTTGACAGACAGCTCTACTGATGTGCTAAATCCAAATTCTTAGCTTCCAGAACTACGAGGCTATCTGTTAAAGCCACTTATTTCATTGCATTTTGTTATGAACACTAAGACAATTACTTCATGCTAATGACTAAAAAATGAAAGATGGTAAGGTTTACAAAAATTGCACCATTATCATATACCTAGATGATGTTTTCCTGACACAGAGAATGACTGAATTAGAAATTTAATTAAAACAAACCAGTTAGACTTCAGTTGTGGAGGGCAGAATTTTGAAAGTTTTTGACACTTTTTTATTTTTTAATTTTTATTTTGATTTGGGTGAAAGTGTACAGAGCAAATACACTTTCCATACAGCAGATCACATACACTTGGTCTCATGACATTGACCACAATTTAGCACAATGCAACATCTCCTCTCCCACTTCCTCCTGATAGGTACCACTTCCCTGTGACCATCCCTCCATGCACTCCTACCCCCTGAGCTGTCTCCCTGTGCCTGAGCAGCCCTTCTTTC